GTCCCTGTGAGCTGGTGGAGGAGGTGGCACAGTTGTCCTGATGCAGCTGGGTCTGCTCATGGTGCACAGCCCAGCCTGGTGCCCAGATTTATTTCCAAGGACCTGTTACATCGTTTTTCATCGAGTCACAGAATCAGAGAATGGTTTGGGTTGGAAAGGACCTTGAATCTCATCTAGTTCCAGCCCCTCTGCTATGGGCAGAGACACCTCCCACCTTTAATTTAAGGTGTTCTTACAGGGGCTGCACTGTCTCTTGTGGTGGTCTATCTGCTTCAGTTTGGACTTTTTTCTGGTTCCATCCCTGCGATCCGTGGGGATGCTGTCCCTGACACCGAGCTGGCACACCCTGCAGCAGCAAGGGCAGGGTACCAGGCTCACAACTTCTCCCGGGATGACAAAGATCTAGAAGGTGAAGTGGATAACGTTCCCAAGGAGAAGCGAGTTCCCAGGTGGCCTGAGGCTGGCTCTTTGCTGGGATTCCGTCGTCTCATCCCACATCCCTTTGCTGCATCCCCAAATTGTGGGGAGCAGCAGGGCTGAGCCTCCGGGTGGGCAGAGGGGGATGAGCAGGAAGGAAATGTTGGAGGGCAAAGCAGAGAGCTTCTGGGGGCTCAGAGAAACTCCCCAAAACGTGGGTGTAAGTGGAAATGAAGGAGTTCGGGGGTTTCTGCCCTGTAACTAAAGCTCTTTTTTTAAGGGGAAATTTAGAAAGAAGTGGGCTGGAAAGCAGAGAACCATGTGGATGTTTTCCCGTGTTACACGTGAGCCCGAGGACCCCGGCAGGGCTGTGTCTGTCCCCAGACCTGGCTGCCTGCGATGCCGGGTGTTCTCCTGTCTCCTCCCTCAATCCCACCAGAGGATGCTCCTGGAGGGGGTGCGGGGACAGGTCCATTACTGGGTGTCCCTCGGCTCCTGGGACCCAGCAGAGGCACCTCCATCCTCTGGCCATGCCGTGGGGTTCCCGCTGCAGGGACGTTTGTGCGGGTTTTAGGGTCTAATCTCTCTTCCCCCCTTCCCGTGCAGCTCTCCGTGAACAGCAAACCCCCCAGCTCCGAGGGGCAGGGGGAGAAGAAGGACAACGCCGCGGCTCCGCCAGCTCCCCCCAGCTATGAGGAGGCGACTGCGGGAGAAGGGATGAAGGCTGGTGCTTACCCCCCACCCCCGTCCGTCCCGCTCCACCCCAGCTGGGCTTATGTCGACCCCAGTAAGTGCTTCGGAGGCTGTGCCCAGGGCCAGCCCCTTGCAGGGGGGGTGCAGGGATTCCCTGTACGGGGTTGTGAAGAGGGGAACTGGGGGCATGGTGCCCGGTTTGGTCCATGGCAGAGCTCACCCAAGAGCTATAAGCCATGTGAGCCTATACCTATAGGTAAAAACCATTTCACCCAACCGCGCTGCCTGCTGGGCTGGAGCTGGACTCCAGGGCTCTGTCCCTGCTCTCCATCCCAGTACCGGGATGGGAAAAATCCCCTCTCCCAGCTTGCATCACTGGGCGATGCCCCTCCCAGGGCTGGGGACAGTCCTGGTGCGATGCTACGCCACCCCCCCCCCCCAGCTCCTGCTCAGTCCCCGCTTTCAGAGAAGCCGCTCAGCTGGTGAAATCCACGTCGCGGCATCAGTGATGCCCGACTGCCGTGAGCCACTGCTCGGAGCCAGCGGGGGCTGGAGCGCTGCTGGACTGGAGGCTGAATTGTCCCAGCATCGGTCCATGGGGTTGACCCCTGGGCGAACAAACAGCTTTTCTTCCCCCGGTGCAGCTCCTGCCCGATCGTGGCCAGCGGACAAAGGCTCAGCTGTGCCCGGTGCAGGGGAACGGCTGCGTGGTGGCAAGCTGGGATGGACACAGTGGCCGGCAAGCGAGTTTGCTGGGGTGGCCATCTGCTTGGTCAGCATGGCTCGGACTGGAGAGAGCACGGGGGGATGGGATTTAATGACTCCTGAGTCCTCCCTCTGCTCATCCTCTTCCTCGACTGTGCTTTGCCAGCTGCTGGCTCTATCCAACGCAGATGGAGGGATGGGGATGTTCCGGGAAGGGGAAGGAGCCCCCTGAGCCCCTCCAAGCCCTGTGTGCCAGCACTCCCCGACATTTTCACAGACTTTTCCCATTCTCGTTTGCCTTCAGGGGTCAGAACCAGACGGGATCAGTAACCCCCCAGCTCGCCGTAACGGCCGTCTGGGTCCTTCTGCTGTCACGCTGAATGAGGATGGGTGAAGCCCAAATGGGCTGGGATGCTGGGATTTTGGGTATCCCAGAGTACCCGTCTAGGTGATGTGTCACCTCTTGTCCCCTCCCTGATGTGCCTGGCAGGATTTCCTCTCTGCAGCTGTGCTGTGCCGGCTGCCGGCTCCATCCAGCACCAACGGTCGCAGCTGCAGGGATGGAGATGTTCAGGGAAGGGGAAAGAGCCCACGGAACCGCTCCGAGCCATGTGTGCCTTCACACTCCGACGCTTTCACAGATTTTTTCCATTCTGGTTTGCCTTTGGGGGTCAGAACCAGAGGGGATCGGTAACCCCCCAGCTCGCCGTAACGGCCGTCTGGGTCCTTCTGCTGTCACGCTGAATCAGGATGGGTGAAGGCCAGAAGGGTTGGGATGCGGGTATTTCGGGTATCCCGGAGGACGTGTTTAGGTGATGTGTCACCTCTTGTCCCCTCCCCGAGGTGCCTGGCAGGGTTTCCTCTGTGCAGCTGTGTCCTTTGATCCCTGCTGGTGTTTTAATCCGGTTCCGTGTCCTTCCCCAGTTCCCAGCCCTCGGCCAGGCTGCAGCTCCAGCAGCAGGAGCTGGGCAGGGACACGCTGCGGTGCCGTGTCCGATGGCTCACACGGGACCGACGGCAGCTGGAGAACAGCAGCACGTTTGGGGCCATTTTCTTTAATAACGAGCTTGGGACGCGCTGTCTTGTCAGACGTGGCCATGGGTGGGAGGTGACAGTGCTGGGGACATTCACCAGGCAGGAGGAAACCCCCCACCCCATTCCTCTGGGGCATTTCGGTGCCTGGTTTGGTGTTTGGACACCGCGGTTGCTTTGACGCAGGAGGCACTGAAGCATCCCGGGGACAAGCGCCCCAGGGGCTGCGGTGACGGATCTCGCAGAAACGCGGGGAGGATGCACGGCGGGAGTTTCGTCTCCACCGGGGCGTAGGAGAAAGCAGCAGAGATTTATTAGGCACGAGAAGAGCACAAGGGATTTCTTTCCTGCCAGGGGCATCTTTAGGCAATACGAGGTTTCTGCAATACGAGCAGGCGGCCTCGGAGCGGTGAAACAGGAGAAATCCGGAGCCTTGAGCTCGGCTTTGCTGGTGTCTGCAGCCTGGCTGCTGGGTTGGAGACGGTCTTTCCTCCATCTGCATGAAAAATCTGAGTATCACGGAGCTGAAAAGCTTTGGGAAGGAGGCGGGCATCTGTCAAACGGGCAGGGACAGGGATGTACAGCTGGGGCAGCCGCAGGAGCCTTGGCTCTATAGGAAACACAGCTGGGGAGACGTCAGTGACACCGAAGGGGATATTTGCAAGAGAAGCAAACAGCCCAGGGGAATGTGAGAGAGACAACTGAGGCTTCAGCATTTATTTTATTTGTTTCCTGACCATGAGGTTCAGGAGATGGAGAAGGCTGGCTCTTGTTTGTGCAGCGGATCCGACAAGGGAGAAGCTGCTGCTCTGGGTTTCTCCTCGCAGCCCCCTGCCCTGCAACATCCCCGCCGCCACCTTCCCCCCAGCGCCATCGCCTCCAACGGCCGCAGAGGTTTTCCAGAGGTTTTCCAGAGGTTTTTCTGCTGTTTTCCTCCACCTCTCTTCAGGCTGCAGAGCCAACTGATGCTTTGTGGTCCAGCTTTACGCAGAGCCCCAGGCGACACGGAGCTGTGTTGTGCGGGGATGTTTGGGGAAGATGCTCTCAGCCACAGTGCTGGGCTTGTTTCCCAATCCCAGGGTGGTTTGGGTGGAAGGGACCTTAAAGCCCACCCAGTGCCACCCCCTGCCATGGGCAGGGACCCCTCCCACCAGCCCAGGTTGCCCAAAGCCTCATCCAGCCTGGCCTTGAACCCCTCCAGGGATGGGGCACCCACAGCTGCTCTGGGCAACCTGGGCCACTGCCTCACCCCCCTCAGCATCCAAAAAATCTTCCTCATTTCTCATCCAATCCTCCCCTCTTCCAGCTTCAGCCCGTTCCCCTGGTCCTGTCCCTGCACCCCCTGATCCAGAGCCCCCCCAGCTCTCCTGTCTTGCTGCTAACCCATTCTCTGACTTCCCGCATGGAAACCAGATCCAGGGATGGACCATACGGAAGAGCTGGCTGTGACAAGCCGTTCTCGGGGGCGAGGGCACGCTGTGGACACGAGGCGTGACGCAGACACGGTCTGAGCTCAGGCGGTTCCGCAGCAGCCGGGGAATCCTCCAGCAGAGCTCCCGGACCAGGGGCTGAGTCACAGCTGCTCAGGGGATGCTCCGATGCTCCAGAGCTGAGCCGGCGCGACATGAGCCCTATGAGCCCTCTGAATGCTATCAAGGACACCGTGTTACCAAAGGCAGGAATTAACCCTGTGTCCTTGTCACGCTGGGGTTTGCAGAAGCGGTTTCCCCTCTCTGCTCTCCAAGGTGGTCCCAATAAGGCGCAGGAGTGGGGAGGGAGCAGGGTGCCTCCTCGCACACCCGTTTTGCAGTGCAACGAGAAAATCTTTGAAATTTGGGTTTCCTGGGCTGTGGGGTCAGATCATTGCAGCGGCTGGGGGGGACCTGGGACGTGGGGGCTGATCTGTCCAGCTTCTGCCGCAGGCACGAGCCCCAGCTACGGCAGCGGCGGGTACCCAGGGGACACGGAGATGCTCACGACCTTCAGCTGGGACGACCGGAACGTGCGCAGGGTGTTCATCAGGAAGGTGAGGGACGAGTCTCTTTGGGCTCAGCCCATCCCCGTGGAGGCAGGAGCCTTGCTCTGAGC